TCCCTGGTATCCCCCCCCCCCCCCCCCCTCCCTTGACGCCACAAAGGTCCATGGCTCTAAATAAATACCATTTCTGATATCCTTCTATTTTTGTGGTTCTAATTGACCTCCCAGTTTTATGTCGCTGTATGCTAGAAGGGTATGGGAGACACATCCATGTAACTGGAAGGTAAACAAAAGTACCAATTTATGACCCAAGTACCTAAAATGTATCTTGTAGTCAACATTCTAAACATTTCATTATACCACCACTCAATTATTTCAATGAAATGGGAAAAAAATACCTGAATTGTTTGGCATGCATGGCTGCCATTGTTGGTAAGAATAGCCGAGATGGCTTGAAGAGTTTTTCCTGTTTCTCCCCATGCTACCACCAGACTGAATAGGCAGGCACAGGAAAGTGCAGTTAGCGACTGTCCGGTGGTGTCATTGGCTCCTGTACTACGAACAGTGATTTCCAGAATAAGCTGAAGAAGAGATTCTGTGAACAGAAAACATCGGAAGTAAGGTATCAACACAGTAAGTTTGCTGCTATGTATAAACAGTTTGCAAACTAAAATGATCTAAATTAAGTAGGGCTGCAGAAATTAACGAATTAATCCTTCGATTAATCGTTAATTTTTTTGATCGATCAAAGTTCTTTTGATCCATACTCACCTCTCCGCACTTTGCAATAGCCAATAGCAAACTAGCTAATGCACCCGCCCACTGCTGCTGTCAATCAGCAGAGGGGGGACCTGATTTTTTTTCTATCAGGTCCTCTTCTGGTGATTGAAAGCAGTAGGGGGCGGGTGCATTAGCTAGTTTGCTATAGGCTATTGCAAAGTGAAATAGCTAGAGCTGCAGCTAACGATTATTTTCAAAATCGATTAGTTAGCCGATTATTAAGTTCGATTAATCGGTTAATCGGATAAACAATAAAATACATTTTTAAAAATGGCTCCAATGATGGGACTACTAGTTTGTATTGAGGTTGTAGTCCATCACAGGAGAAAGCTTGGAGCGGTGGAAGTAAAAAAGAAAAAAAAACGAAATTAATCGATTAAAAAAATTAATCAAACAGGAACATTTTAATAATTACCAGCCCTAAATAAGTAATGGTTTATTCTTAAAGACAACACAGAGCAATAGCAAACAACCAGAAATCCAAAGTAAAAGCAGACCTACACTGAAAAAGTAGAGATTTGCTGCCATATATAACAAGGATAATTGTGGTTTAGCAAAAGGCTTAAAAATCTATAATTTTCCTTGAAACTCCACATGAAGAGTTGCTGTGCATTTCCTAGCCTGTCGCAGTTACTAGGCACTCCTGTTCTTGTAGCTGAATATCTGCCGTGTAAGATAATTGAAGGCAAAGCCTGCCCATGACAACTGCAATTCTCACCAGATCTCAAGTGTCTCCCTGAGCTCCACATTAACAGTTGTTGATGTAATTACTGTGCAGGTTCTTGTTCTTCTGAGATCCTGCTGGAGAAGGAGTTCTGCTAGTAGACCTGCAGTACAAGAATCTCCTGCCTACTTAATTTTTGTTTTTTGTCATTGTCAGCAAACGTGCTGCAGAAGCATAAATTCAACACTAGTTACTAGTCGTTCACCCTCATTTGAGTGTTCTGGTGCATAGCTTCCATAGAATAGGCCCATAAAATGCCGCTTAGGCCAAATTCACACCATTTTGCCGACCAGATCTGGAACACGGAGCCTTGTGTTTTGACACGATTTGCAGCATTTGACTGGGGGGGGAGGGAGGGGTTTAGCTTAAAATGGGCTTTCAGGTGCATGCGTTTTTGATGACTATGTATTGCAAACCAGAGAAAAATGAGACTAGCAGTATTTTTTTTGTCGGATCCGAAACGGACTGCGTGGTGAGAACAGAGCCCAGAAATACCATATAGAGATACATTGGGATGCATATTTGGTCCGAGAACAACTGTTCCGGTCTGGACATGATGTGAACAAGCTCTTAGGTCTCGTTCACACCTTGGCGTATTGCATATGCGCGACCGTCGCGCATTTTTTACCGCGATTCGCTGTATACTTGGCTGTATCCCAATGGAAACGCGCAACAAAACGGCCCAAAGTAGTACCTGTACCTTTTCAGGCGTGGGCCGTTTTGTAGCACGTTAGGGACGGGCGGAAATACGCCAAGGTGGGAACGAGACCATTGAATACAATGGGATTTATATTGTTTAGCGTTTTGTAGAGCGTTCGCCGAGCGTAGAACGCGCTACAAAACGTTCAGGTGTGAACGAGGGCTTAAACTAACTGGACTGCAGAAAAGTGAACTGCAGAACCCAATAAAAGCCCGGTAACATGAGTTAAAAAATATTCACTAAAAACAAGAATAGAGACAACTGTAGGACCTGTTAAATACAACATCTAAAGAAACTCTGTTTTTCTGCACTTCAACCTTTTTCACCTCTAAAAAAAAAGAGAAAGAAAAAAAAAAAAGAAGGTCGACAGAGATACTTTGATGATCCTCCACTGTATGTGTAGTTGTGAGTCTCCAACCACAAAACATTACAGCCCTGTGTTTTACTCCCTAGTATTAGCATGCTGTAAATAGACCCCAAAGACATCTTAAGTCTTGAGCATTTGGCCAGCACTGATATGTACCTACTGACAATATACAATAAAGCCAAGAGCACTCTGGCTTGCATCTAATCTTACCCAACACTTCAGGGGGTTCGGACTGGAGTCCCTCTGGCTGCTGACCCTGTAGTATATTGAGGAGAGCTTGCAAGCTCCTCAAACACAGTGACGGGTGAGAAAAGCGTGTCTCCTTTATCAATTCAAACACTTCACATAAACCAATTTCAATTATCTGAGGAGAAAGCAAAAAAGGAACACATAGTACACTTATTACAATATTGTATTAAACGAACAATGAATTCTAGTGTGTAGCATAACATAACAGGTTCACAGAAGACATTGCACTGATGCTCCTGCTTAGAGTATTTACGGTTTCTTTATACCACATTTAGATTAACATAACATACAAGAAACCTTTTTATCCACCGCAAAAAAAGCTTGGCCAATTATTGCAAAAAAAAAACAAACAAAAAAAACATAGAAAACCAAAAAGCTCAATGTAACTGACAGAAAGGCCTTGGAGGGTTGCTGTGCACAATGAAGGCAGCTTGAATCAGAAGAGCAGTAGATGAATACAGGGAAAGAACAATCATATACATTGTGTGTCTAAACAGCAAGCCAAGGTAAGTTGGGGGCTATGCAAAGTTATTGGACTACTGTACAAATAAAAAATATCAGCACATGAATGAGAAGCTCAATACAGGCCATGGCTTTATTGATCCTAAAAGACCTTTACAACTTATGTAAGTTAATTGCTTCATTTATTAATGTTCCACGGAATAAAAAGTGAAGCTTCAGTTCTTAAGCTTGTTTGGTAAATTCAGAACCCGCGAACGCATTTAGGCCCCAAAAACAAGCTGCCAGATGTGACAAGCCAAATGGCTCAATACAAAAAAGCATTCCCCTTGAAGCACAGGAAGGAATGGACACTGAAGCACCAGCTCATTTCATGTCCTGACATATCTAAAAGCATGAAGGACCTGCACTTAAATCTCAGGAGAAGGGCTACACTGCTGTCATGGGAATACATCAGCAGTCATCTTAACAGCATATAATGTAGCTCTAGACAGTGGCTGCACTACAGCCCCTGACAGGTAGCCAAATGGAGCAGCTTGAGGACACCTTAGTTTTGCCTTGTTTTATTCAAATTACTTCTTTACAGAATTTCAATGAAAGTCCTGGCTCACCTACTCAAAAAAAATCAATTACTTCTGTTTGAGGTGACCCAACTTCTTTTTATTGTAGATCACATATTCTACTGCAGAATTTACTGGTAGAACTCAGAATATGTTGTTCCCACAGTGACGGTAAGCTACCCAGACACTGAAGCAGCAAACCATCCACACATGATAATATACCCTCCAACATGATCCAGGGATGAAGTTCTGGTCTCAAACACTGTATGCATTTACTAAAAGGTTTAACTTTTGCCTCATCTGTCCATTATTATAACTTATTGGAAGATGTGACAGCATAGGAAGTCCATAGAAAACTGAAACTCGAAAAGGGATCAGTCTATTCTCAAAAAGGCATAAAAACAAAACAATCAATACATTTCTTATGCATTTCAGCCCCACAACTGAGCCTTAGTGGTAGCATAGGAAGCACCATTAAAGATATCAATAACTTGTTAAAGATGTCACCAGCACACCATATATGTCAAAACAAATAGCAACGTTTCGGGGCCACACAGGGTCCGCCTCATCAGGCTTATTTTAAGCCTGATGAAGGGGACCCTGTGTGGCCTGATGAAGGGGACCCTGTGTGGCCTCGAAACATTGCAAATTTGTTTTGACATGAAGCGTCAATAAACAGACGTGTTCTTCCCTTTAATATGGTGTGCTGGTGACATCTTTAACAAGTTTCAGTATTGGCGGCACCATCCGCGATCACTTCGAGCACCCACGCTGACCGGGATACCCGGTAAGGAGTGCAGCAGGATTCTGGAATACATACATTAAATATATCCAGACAAGTCAAAACGCTATGTAACCCATGGCTATCAGAATACCTGAACAGTGACTGCAGCTGACTGGCCAACTATTTTCCCCCCAGATCGAACTTAAGCCAATTTATCAGGAAACAGCTGAATTTCATTCTGTGCATGGACAGTTTAAGGGCTTGGTCACACCAAATACAGTGCGTTCCAGAACAGTTAGCTGCTGCAACACTGTATAGCATAGTGTTCTGGGGTGAGGGGGCGTGTCACTGCACCGGAAGTCAATGGCACCGCAGCCAGGCCTCCCACCCGTAGTGCGAACGCCCGCACTAGAACGCACAAACAATCCCTGCGTTACCATCCTGTGCGATCTTAAAAATGCTGCATGCATTATTTTTTCAGATCGCACTAGACCGCCACACCCCCTCCCGCCCCAGAACGCAGGGGGGGGGGGGGGGGGGTTTACCATGCGATACAGTGCGTTTCAGCAGCTAACCACTCTGGAACGCACTTGTATATGGTGTGAACAAACACTGAGGCTAAAATGTATTAAAAATTCATGTGCTGGATAACTAAGAGCAAAAACTAAGTAAAGCAGGTACCTGCCATCTCTAGACACCCTTTTGGTTAATGGGCCTACCATACTTCATGTTTTTTTTTTTAACCAAGTGTAAATGCTTACCTTTGGAAGCTTAGTAGGTGGCTCTTTGGATTCCTCCTCTTCATCGCTGTCTGACTCCCCACTCTGCACAGAGTTCTTTGAGGATAATAAAACGGAGGTTTCTTTCCTCTGCCATTCCAAGACACAGTGACGGACATTGCAATAAACATTGAATGCTGAAGGGTTACTGTAGAGCTTGAGGTCGGGTATGAAAAGAGCATTTTCCAGGTTGTCAGCCTTAAAAAAAAAAAAAAAAGTTACATAACGCTAAATATTGCATTGGATTTGAAAACAACTGCAAGTAACAAAGACCCCGTCACTAAATAAATATAAGCAGCCCTGGACTAATCTCTCGAAAACAGCAGTCTGGCATGAGAAATTAGGAGCCACTACCCAAAGTGTTTTTGAGAAACCTCACTATGTTTTGTCACAGTGTTCCCGTTCATACAACATACCTAAAGATAATGAAATATATTTCTAGCAGGTTTAAACATAGGACTCGATAGGCAGTTTCGATTGTTTAGAATCGCTTGCAATGAGCAATTAGGCTGAGGAGCAGGTTTTTTGTTTTAAGTGCATTAACAAACAATGTACCACCCAAGCCTTAAGGTTGTTAACCCTATGTTAGGACGGTGTACACATTGAGCTCACAACAGATAACCCAGATCTGCTGCACAGTACAGACAGGGTACTTATGGTAAACATAACTCTACAGCTCCTGCTTCACATTACATAGACCGAAAAAGCAAGTAAGATTTTTCAGCAAGCAAGGGCAAAAAAAAGCTTTAAAAAAGAGAACTATGGGGTAACCTTTTTATCCCATAGTTCTCTTTAGGGTCACGGGAGGACACATACTAGCGCCTTCCCGTGACTCATAGCTCGGTATATAGCGAGCTACTGCTCACTATATACTGAGTGCAATGCGCAGCCGGGACGGATCCCAACAACACTGTCAAGATCCACCCAGCTGGCTGATTGACAGCAGGCTCAGCATATCTAGAGGCAGACCCAGCTGTGGCCGCCCCCTCCCCCATCCGTTCCTCCAGTCAGCGCTGGAGTATCGGAGAGTCTAGGGGGGAATCCCTGCAGGGAGCGGTGGCTAGCGGGCACCGCTCTCTGCGGGGAGAGGATTGGGAGCTGAACGAGCGACGGTATGTGTTGGCTCACTTCCCGATCAATAGAACCGACGTGTTAGTGTCGGCTCGACTATGAGGATCAGTGTAAACTACTCACCTCATAGTTCTCATTTATTAAAAAGGAAATACAAATGACCTGCAACTTAAAGCTGCACTCTAGGCAAACATCTAAATATACAGATGAATTACATATAATGGAGTTGTTTTACCCAACAAAAGGTTCCGATTTCTGTCCTGTTACATGTTCTGCACAGCTCTACCACAAAGCACAGCCCTGCCTGGCAAGGCAACCGGTTTATTTCTCTATTGAAGTTCCACTTTCACTTACCCCCTTCCCACACCCCCCTACACTGTGAATCACCAGTGAAAGGAGAAACAGCACAAATCTGGCTAAACATCTTAAAAAGGAACTTGGTTCCATCCAGGATAGCTCACTTCTGCCTCCAACAAGTGCTTTTGGGGCTGTGATGAGGTTCATAACGTGAAACACATTTGGTGGACATGCCCTTTTTTCATTACAGGCATTTCAGCTCCGATCTACTCGATTGCACACTTGTATACTAAGAGATCCATGCCCCTCCTACACAACCACTTTGAATATCTCCATAAATACCAATGAAAACTAACTACGTTTGTTTTCCTTGCAGTTAAACTATTACCCCTTTTTGTAAATATTAAACTTTACCCTTTTGTGAGGTCAAGACCTGACTACATGGTTTTAGGACAAATGAGAAGCACGATACTTTCCTAAAGGTCTCGTCTCCATGGGCCTCTTGTGAAAGCATGTCAATGAACCCTTCCTTGCTCATCCTACTGTAGTTATGAATGTCAGGCGTGTGCTTGTTATGAGACTGCCACCTTACTTTCCCTCCCCCAGCGTTCCCTTCTTGCTTCCACTCACTCTACTTCAAACTGCACCTTCTTTCACATACCCCTTGTTCCTCCTTTATTTTATTCTTTATTCTCATAACACCAAGCTGGAGCAGAGGAGACGTTATAACTTATCCTCTGCTCCAGGTTGTAAAACATAGGTGGTAACATATTCGCAATAACCCTATATTATACACACTGAAACTTGTCACACTTATCACAGCGCACCGGCCAACACACCCACACTGTGATGTGAATGGGAAGCATAGAAAAAAAAATGGTTTCCAATGTGTCCTTGCAGTGACCTGCATTGATCCTGTGTGGTACAATGCAGGTCACGGCAGTATGTGTAAACGAGCTCTGAATATATTGGGATTGATGCCCCTCCTTTCCTACAGAAAACTGTACGGTTGTGCAAAAATGCAGTTTCTCTTTAACAGAAACATCTCCCACACTTCCCAGGAACACAAACACCAGCTGTAATTTATTCAGGATGATAACAGTGAAGTACTAGGAATTGCAATTATTTCATCTGTTTGCACATAACTTGCAGAATAATTAGTCCAAATAACTGCCAGAAATACTGCATGTTCTGTTTAGGAAACCCACATTTCTGCAGTGGCACAGACCATAAGGGTCATGCTATATGAAAATAAAACCATCCATATTATCAGAAACTAAACTAAACAAGCATGTTTAATGAAATGGTCTCATTGTAGAGGCTCAGTACAGGCAAGAATTCACAGTACAGAGTTCACATGCTGACTCATTTCAGAGGAATTCATTAGGGCTACAGTGCTATTAAAATGCTTTGGGCATAAATTTGTCACCATTTCTTCTTTCACATATTTCCACTTTTCCTTTGTAGATTTGAACATTAACTGCACACACTGTGTTGGAAAGGATTACCATATTCACACATAAAACATCATGAAAAATGCGTGTTACACTGCAGCCAGCAAAAAAGCGACAGCCCTGATTAACCTTACGACTGCCCAAGCTTTCCCCAGGTCTTGGCTGTCCTCCTTGCTGGCTATCCAATGAGATATAAAATAATGGAGGCCACGCACGCATCGATTTTAGATTTTGATTCCACCCGATAAGAGCAATCGATCTATAGCCGACCATGAATCCGTTTCTATGCAAAACACACAGGAAAGTAAGATCCGATCGATTATTTACCAATACAATCATAAGTAAGCAATCGAACCTACAATCTTGCGTCCAATCCTTCATTTAGATTAATTGGAAACTGTGAAACCAGCAGAAATTATTACTTTCCATTAATGCTACTGATGGGGCATTTGCATGAGAGATCGTATTCACAAGTGAAGCACGAGTGATCGGATTTAAAGCAAGATACTTTTTTTTTATGCACCACAAAAATATTTAAGAGGTTCGGAAAGCCTGGGCTCTACTAATACTGGATTATCTATGTACCAATTATCATAAAAAACAAGAAACATCTTGACAGATAAGTAGCTGAAGACAAGACCAATATTCACATATCCAATTTAATGAACTGGGGCCTCATTCACATGGGCAGCAAGGGGGAGGGGTCTTAAAATCTCACAATTATACCGCAGATTTGCTGCATCCCAGCTGCCTGGCAGCCGAATAGTGCTGTATACATTGGCATGGGCACGATGCTTTGCGCCATGGCAAAAAATATACAGCATGTCGCGTTTGACAAGCGGCCCTGCATGACAAACGCAACAACTGCAACTGCGTGGGTACACGGCTGCATCACAGTATTGCAATAGAGAATCCACATTGGGTAGTATTGCCTACTGAATGCCGGGCAGTTGCTGCTCCACCGTGGATCGCTTTTAAGAAGACAATGGAGACTGCAGACCATGTCAGCGTGGCCTTAATGGAAACTGTAAGACCAACCAAAAATGGCATAGTAATGCGCAAGCCTATATCCACAGAACAAAAGCCGTAGTAATCAAAAGGGTTAAAACGTGATCATGGACTTCTCATTATCTATAACTTCCCCAACAACTACCCCTGTCATTAATAAACTGAATATTAAGCACTTATCAGCCCTTTAATTTCTCCAGATATGACTATATACAGTGGAATTGTGGCAAAGCTTGCTCATAGGCTGGGTCAGGATTCTAATTGAATGGATAGGTGTTTCTTTTTATATATCTCCAGCAAAGCAGGATGTTCAGTTTGGATATCTGTCTGCAACATGATGTAATGGAAGTGGGAAGGCAGACACTCCAGCCATCAGATAATGGACAGCATATTAGCTGAAGGTTAGTGGAGTAATTGCTTATCTTTACACAATTTGAACAGCTCCAGACTCCTGGGCTGCATAATAGTTCCAGGGCATTGCCACAGCTTGCAAGGAGATTAAACAGGTTCAGATTCACTACATAGGAACTAGAATCTAGAAGATAAAGGGTGTTCATTTTAATATTAAGGCTTTTCAATCCTGTTTAATTTTTTTTTTCTTACAGATTCCCTAAAAAAAACAAAAAAAGTTACTGCTGTTTAAAGTCTCAGATTTACACACACAGCATGTGTGACAAAATCACAATGAACAAGTATCAGATATACTAACATTTAGATAAGCTTTGGCCAGGATAAGGACTTGCTCCAGACCATGAGATAAAAGGAAAGGAACAAAGCATGTTTGGAAGGACAAGAGGCACTCCTGTCACAATAACAAATAGAGGATGACTGGATTGCTCTGACAATACCAACCATCCACAGAGTAGGTACAGTTTTATATTACCCTATTACAACTCATGGCACATTCAGCAACTTGTAAACATTGTTTTTAACTGTGCTCTCCTCCATAACAGGAACATATTAGGACCTTGGATGTAAAAGCCACAATTATCATTTTTCACCCTAATATATTATTACCTTACTCGCAGCACATGATCCTACGCGATAGTATTATATGGATTTTTACAACTCAGGAAAACAGAATCAGAGTTCGAGTAAACTATGGGGCCTAGAAACATGCCAGCAACAACAACAAAAAAGCTCACTTGTTTCTACTGCGTCACTCTCCACTGCCCACAGTCCATGGAGGTGTCACTCTCTCAGGCTACCGTTTACACTATGGGGATGAAATTCCTATGCTCCTTGGCTCTAGAGGCGAGAATGCCAAGTGAACAGCATTTGGCCAGTGCGTATGTTTTCTATGTTCCCTGTTCACATAATAATACGATTGTGATGAGCAGTGCAACCCGGAAAAAATGCAGTTTTCTGGATGGCACCACACTAGGGCTGCATCCAACTAATCGATATCAATGAGAATAGTTGTCAACTATTCTATCGATTAGTTGGTTGGATCCCCTAGCTTCCTCCTCCCCACTGGGAGGAGGGCGCAGCAAGCAGTGGGCGGATGCAATAGCCAGCCTGCTATTGCAATTTGAAATGGCCAATACCAGCCCACTACCTGCTCCATTTACATTCAGCTGCCGTCTGCGGAATCTTGCCACTTGCAGCTGTCATTCCCTGGCTGAAGCTATTCAGGGCCGGTGCACACCTAGGCGACACCCCATCGCACTGCAATTGTGCACGATTCCACGCATATTGCTGCACGGTCAGGAGTCGCCCAGGTGTGCACCGTTTGCGCCGTGGGTGCCATTATTTTCCAATAGCACCCCAGTTGCGCCGGGCGGCAAGCGCGTTCTCCTGCTGCGATTCCACGTGTGCTTACGATTGCGGCTAAAAACAGCCACGCGGCGTGTATTGCAGAAAAAAAAATAATGGCACCCACAGCACGATCGGTGCACACCTAGGCGACTCCTGACCGCACGGAATCGTGCACGATTGCCGCGCGGTGGGCTGTCGCGCCTAGGTGTGCACCGGCCCTCAAGTGCCATGTGTTTACAATACAATTATATATATTTTTTTTAAAAGTCATTTTCGATTTCGGCCTCACAAATTCTGTTGCGGGATGTGTGTTGCAGTGACATTCATTTCAATGGCACCCCAAACGCGCCTCCCACCCACAGTGTGATTGCCCGCACTGGAACACCTAGTATCTCAATGCCGTGCGTTCCAGTGCAGTGAGACTGCAAAAAAATGTGCATGTAGTTTTATTCTGAAATCAACTTTATGTTTCTAATACTGCATTTGTATATATTCTTTTTAAATTAAGGATGGTATTTAAATTTTTTTTCTCTGATTAAATCGAACAAAATAAAAATCGGCCAACTAATCAATAATGAAAACAATCATTAGTTGCAGCCCTACACCACACCTCACCGCTATGTGACCGGGAACCTGAATAGAGTGTACAGCTTGTACATGCCAAATAAAAAGGTAAAAAAATTTAAATAACTGATATGCCGAGACAGCACATTACAATGCCCACCCGCTAAAATTAAGCGTTTTAATGGTGTGATATGTATTGTAATGAGTGGGGTAGTGTGAACATGTGGGTTTTGCAATGTTTTAGACAAAGGAGCAACACCTTTGTGGTCCAGCAGCAAGGTAGGGATACAGTTAAAAGCAGGCAAATAGGTTTTTTTTTTTACCCTCACTAGAAATCCTGTGACTGGCGAGTTGCCACCAGCGAAATGACTGCTAGTGTGACATAGGCTAAAGCTGCTTACTTTAATAACTCTGGATCTAGATTTACTACTACTGAACAAGTTGCTAAAAGGGCATTTATTAAACAGTTAATCTTACTGCAAGAAAAACTGTAATGCACTATTAAGCACTCTTGTCTTAATACTCTGGTCATGGGTTTGAATCCCCACTTAGGACACTATCTGCAAGGAGTTTCCATGGGCTTCCCCTGGTTTTCTTCCACAATCCAAAAACCTGCTAGTAGTACGAGTGGAATCTTCCTAAGAAAATGCCTCTAGTGCGTCTGAATGTGGTAGAGACACAAGATTGTAAGCTCTTTTCGGTGACAGTGAAAGGATCTATGTGCTCAGTAAAAGCATTGTTTAATGTGTTAATGCTGTATAACCAAAGTAAAGGAACATAATACAACTCATGATAGCAAATTCATCTATACCTTGCTTCGCAATTTCCCTTTTGATTTGGCCTTCTGCTTCCGTTTTAGTTTCTTCTTGCTAAGAATTTTCTTATTTCTAAAAACAAGGGAAAAGAGAAGGAAATTAAACTTTACAATAGATGTATCACTTTTTGCAATAAACAAGCTGGTTAAACAGGCATCTTTATTAGAAGTGTTATCAGACATGTTGTACAAATTCTCAGGCGATTATAAATGTAAAATTTGCTTACATCTCAACAGCTAGCCGTTTCTTAGAATCACCCTACACATGTAAATGAGCCATAGTCCAGGCTAACACTTTCTACCTAGAGTCCAGAACATCCACAAATGATGAAGGGAAATATTCCAAGCAATGTTTCACCTTGATTGGCTTACAGGCCTGTTCACACCTTAACGCTGCACTATATGCACATTATCTGTGTGTTTAGCGCAAACCAGATGCACTGGTGCCTTGCCACTTCTCAAAAGCACTCCAACGCACCCCTGTGCAAACAGGGCTGTAATAACGTGCGTTCCCATATGATTAACGTATTGCATGAGTTACTTTTTTCATTGCATGGCAGCATAAAACACGTTACTGCAATACGCGCTGGAAGGTGTGTTGAGGTGCCATTGAGAATGAATAGCAATACACCAGTGCACCTAGCATGCTGTAGTGTGCGCTGTGTGACAGCATGTGCTAAACACATGGATCCCGCAAGTTTAGCACCATGCTATGGTGTGAACAGGCCCTTAATTGGACCATCTACGTCATGCTATCTACGTCATGTCTACATGTGTTGTATGGTTGTTATCCACCAATTCCAAAGGTGAACTTCCACTTTAATATAGTAGATTTTGGCTGTTCCATTCTGCGTTTACCCATTAAGTTCTATTTCCTATTTGAACAAAAAGGTATATGCATAAATTTACAATAGCTTTCCTAAAAATAAAAAAAGTTAACCAGTAGCACACATACATTTTCCGTGTAACAGTCTGCAGAAAGTGCACCACGAATATCAGCACCTACAGCAATCTAGTTCCAGTAACGCCATTTGTCGGGAAAGGAAGGAGTCAGAAAGCTTCTGGCACTTAAAGAAAAACCAATTTGCTTGTTTTACAGCAACACAATGCAAGCCAACACTGTCCAAGACAATTCCAGCGTCTTGGCTCTCCTTACCAAACCCTTCCCAACGTGCGAGCCTAGCAACAAAATCAGTCCCATAGCAACCACTCTCTGATGGGCCTACAGCAGTAGTGTGCTCACATCCATCCGTTTTGTTCTGTATTTATATGTGCCATAAAAATGGCCAACAAAACAGGAAAGAATATGGATATCCACTGAAACTATTATCAATGTAGTCCATGTGCAATATAATCCTCCCACAATGCTGCAAATGACAGGTAGAAAAATGTGGACAGAAAGCAATGTGAAAAAAACGAGAGGTGTCATGAAGATAAAGCAAACTAACCATACATTTGTGGGGGGGAAATAAAGCAACACAGGCTATTCACAGCAATAGCTGACATTAAGCAGATGGCACCTAACAGATGAAGGTAGAAAATACAGCATGCACAAAGTAAACAATATATTATGCAAGAAGCCTACATCGCTGAGCTTTCTTCAATCCATCTGTTTGTGTAAAGTCCATTTTCAAATAACTACATTCCAATCATGAAAAATCACAGATAAAACCCTGCACATGCTGAGGATAAAAAGGATTCCATCACTAAATGTCACCAGGAAATAAAAGAAGTCACTCCACCTATCTGTAGAACATATAGAGGAAAAGAAGGTCCCCTTTATCAAGGACAATCACTTTCATCCCGGTGGTTTTCAAATGGCAAAACGAGATCTGACAATTCTGTATACAGCATATGCTCAACATTTCTAAAAAGAAAACTGGGCTGGAAACGCTAAAAGGTTACATTAATAAGCTCCTCCCACCAGCCAAACCCTTAGGCCCCATTCACATGTAGCGACATACCTTTGCAGCGGCCGGGATAGCGCGACTTTCGGGGCGACGTTCCAGCGACGGTAGCGCGACCTTCTCCGTCGGGCTCCATAGAAAAAAAGCAAAATCGAGCAAAATCCGCCGAAAAAAGGGTCCGGTAGAAGCGACTTGCGACCGCGACGTGGAGCTAAGACAGCTCCATTGACTATCATTAGCCGGCGTCTTCTCGCGATATCGCGCAGCAAAAATGCGTGAAATCGCGCAATAAGTCGCTACATGTGAACGGGGCCCAATATATTTTTTTTTCTTAGGAAAAGTCTGTCTGCCATCTGTGAGGACAATTAGGAAGAACCGTACATAGATGTATCCCAACTCCTCCTCCACCATCGTAGGAGAGGATGTAATGCTTTGTTGAAACCAATATCCATATGGTGACAGGATGCCCAAGTCCAGTGTATGCAAACACTAACTTCCATTATGGTCGAAAACAAGCCATCTCTAAATATCCGATCTCTGTTTAAGGGCTGGTTCGCACCACAAACGGTGCGTTCCAGAGCGGTCAGCCTCTGAAACGCACTGTATCACAACCCGTCCGGCTCCCTGCTGCAAGCACTATTTCTGCAGATCGCACTGAACCGGAACACAGGCACCGATGTGCCAGGCGTTCTAGTGCGTGCAATTGGACTGCCGGCAGGGGGGCGTGGCTGCAGTGCCATTGAATTAACTGCACCACCACACCTCCTCCCACCCCTGAATGGAGGGACCCAGCCATGTTGCGATACAGTGTGTTCCAGTGCCCTCAGCACTCATCGGTCATTATAACTCACCTCTGATGCCTTGTATGGGCACTCATGCAACCCCAGGTCTGCACCACAGTGGTTTAAAAGTTTGTACCTCCGCTCCCGCAATTAGACTTCATCATTTATTTATGGGTACAAAGATGTTAACACTTCAACAACTACATACTAAGTGGGGTGTTCACCCTCTGGACTTTTGGCATTATATACAGATCCTACATTTCACATTTTCCCTTCCGGAGTCAATTAGCTCCAAACCTGATATCTACCAGCTGGAAACTCTCCAATCTTTGGGCGAACATGCTTGGCATTGAGTTTCTCAATTGTACTAACTTCTTCAAACAAAATCAAACGCTCCTCCATCTGATTTATCTCTATGGGAGACTGAGTTTTCGACCACTTTATCTGCTGAACAATCAATCCGACAGGATTCTACTCCTCACCTCTTAGTAATCAAATCGTGGAATCTGCTTCCAAATTTTTAGCCCAGCGGTATTATACTCCTGCACGTATGAGCTCCATTTCTCCTACAGCATCACCTACCTGTTGGAGGGGGTGTGGTTATAGGGGTCAATTTTCTCATTTGTGGTGGTATTGTGGATTGGTTTTGTAAAATTGATCACTTGAGACTGATGGAGCAACCAACATACGCCACTCAAGATAATTCTGCCCCGTTTGAAAAAAACATGGCAACCCTGGATCGACTTCAAACTTACACCACTTTACTTGCACAGTGTTACTGGGTATAATAATTTGGTATTGTGTATTGTTACCCTAATGAAGTTGTGCATTTTATACATGCTTCTACTGACTTTGGGATACTCATGCTCCACCTCTCTTTCTCCCTCTTCAACTTTCTTCCGTCTCCCCCCACCTCCTCTTTCCTAGTCTTTCTCCCTTCTTTGACAGGTCTACCTCATTTCTCATTGACCTCTTCTACTGTGCTTTGAATTTTGGACATCAGACTCCTCTATGCCTAGTCATGTGAATGTTGATATTGACTACTTGTACTTGGTGAAATGTGAATTCCCCTTACATTTTTTTTTATCTTGACCAACACCAAAGTCTTGTTTTATTTGCGATTCTGTCATAGTATAAAACTGTGGATTCTAACCATTGTGGGTGCTGGTTGTGCGAATACAGTAGACAGCAGTGGAGACTTCTCCTCCCCCCCCCCCCCCCGCCCCC